ATTTAGCTCCTAGCTCACATTAGCTACTGCCATTAAACAATGATCAAAATAAATAATTCTACTTTTCTTGCTAAATTTGCTTACTACACTAAATGCGTTTGCCAACCCACGCAGTACCAGTGAATTAGGTGCTAAGTAAAATCTGGTTTTCACTCAAACTTGCAGCACTCAGTACACAGAACAACTGGATATGTGCAGCATGTTGCTAGCAAAATGTCCAAGCAAGTTTAATCAGTTCTGGGTACAAGCCAGGCCTACTGACTTACCCATTGGAACTTTAATATGACAATTATAATTTAGTAGTTCATTTCTTACTAGGTGTATCAAGAAATTATTGCCTAATAATGACTTTTCAGTAGCTTAAACTGATATCCGACATAATTTTATAGGTTTTGCCAGTAGATGTTTTCCATGGAATAGATTTGCTTAGAACAGAACTCTCATAACATGTGTTTTCCAGCTACAGGGATGGGGCAGGTCAAGTTACATTTATTATGAGACTTTGATTACTCTATTTACAGACTGATTCCTAACCCATCCCCACAAGGAACTACTTACATTAGAATAACGTAGGCCTCTGAACAGTTTTGAAGATTCACCAACCACCCTGTTTAAAACCATTAATAAAGTGTCATTCTCCGCTAGGATGGAATATGACTCTGAACGATGTTGATGAAATTCAGAAAGACAACAGCGGCTCATGTACCAGCAAGCAAATTAAGATATTAAAACTTGATAAACACTATTTATACGAAGCCATGTAACTTTAATTAAACCTAATAGAATAGTCTTGAGACATTCCCCAAATAATCCAAAATATTCAGTCATTTTAATGACCAATCCACCTTTGTTAATGTTTACATAGCTGTAATTGCTGTTACGGAAAAACAGCAAGAGAAAACTATAGACTTTTAGCTACTTGAAATGAGGACAGCCAGCACAACATGAATAGACAAAAACTTGAGACACCATTAGCTTCTCTGTTAGCTCATAATTAAATTGTGCATCTTGATAGAACAGTTAGTATCTACAATACAGTGAATAAGTAAATTTGTAGTCAAGACGGATAACAACAACAAAAATCTGGACTTCTCCAGCTTGAAAGCTGAAAATAAATTTAAGACTATTATAAAGTTTGTTAAATACTTGCAGTAATGAGACACCTTCCACAAAATAAAGTTTGCTGTATGTAACATCTAATCCAGAATTGTGCTAGCACCTTGCTTGTACATAAAACATTTGTCATTATATTGGTCAAAAGTGTAACAGACAAACTATACTCCACAAACCCTAGCTTCACCATTAATACTTAAAAAAAAGTCTACTAACGTTATTTATTTATGGAACTAACATAGGTTGCATTTTCACTAGGAGACTATAGCAAACTAGCTACACAAACAAGTCTGTCAAATATGACCAGGTCTTAAGTCAGTGGTTAACGTCTAATGTGATACAAGTGGACAAAGACATTCCATGCTTAAATTTGCATACTGGAAAAATAGACCAGCAGTCATAAATCTGACGCATAGCTGTAGATACTAAGAACTATTCAACTCTTAAATGTAAGGGGTTTTTGCTTCTGTGCTTGTCAGTTTTTACAACTTCAACAATTATTTCCTTATTATGTAATTGCACAAGCTGCTTACTTGAGAGCACCGTGTTTTCACATGAACTAGAGTCTGAGAAATCACTTACATGTACAATCAACTCTACAGCTGATTACTTCAAACTTTTCTTCATCAAGCAAAGTAATTCTGATCTGTTGTAGTTAGTTTTTGTTATCTCCTGACTCTGAAAACGATACATTGTCAAAGATTTAATTAAGGTTAGTGAAAGACTGGTAATTACTCTTCCTTCTATTTTAGAAGAGTAATTCCAGCCAAGTCTAACAAGGAAGACCTTTAAAGTAAATCCTAAATAAACCAAAAGATTAAAAATTTTTTAAAAAATCCTCTATGCACATCTCACTTCACCAAACTAGCACAAGTTTACACATGGGCAAGACCTCAGCAGTTTAAGAATACTTTGAAATTAGTTTAGCTAATCAAAATTAAGACACTAGCTTGCCATATACACCTTAGAAAAAGACAGCTTGCTAGAAACAAGCTGGACCAGCCAGGACAGGTGTACTGGGAACAGAAGGTCATAAATGAATACAGCTACAGAGACTTAATTGGAGAGAGGTGTGGTTTGTTTTAAATAACCACACCACTGTAACTACTCAGCATTGAAAGCTGATGGTAACCTGTAGAGGAAATCAAAAACCAGGAAGGGAGCTTATAATGTTATTTCCCCTCAATTTCTGTTTCTATACAAATAATTAAAATTCAGTATTAAAAAAGTATCAAGCCTAGTTTTCTGAATTCTGAATCAGAAAATTTTATCTTTAGAGAAGAGCATCTATTAACATCAAACATTTCCACTAAGTTATTCAGAGGAACGCACTGATCAGTGAAGCAGCATAAGTCACAGCATTTCTGTTGTGGAAAGTTAAGAGTTTGGCACGACTCGTCATTAGCCACAAAGCACAAAGCACCTTCTGGACCCAGCAGATTTCTCAACCTGGGAAATCCATACTCCCAACTGGTTCAGTTACTCTGGGCTGCAGCTGCTCCGTCACAGGCAGGGAAGGACTGCTTGGGCTGGGGACCTTTCTGAACCAAATACCTCCACACAGAATACCAAGTGAGAAAAGCAATGGTATACCTGCAGACCTTGCCTCTCCTCCACCTCCACACAGCCCTGTCACAGGTCTTCCCGTGATGAAGGTATATTACAAATTATTCTCTCATTTTTCAGTTAAATCCTTCAAATTTTTAAATTAAACAAGTTCCAAGACATTCAGTAACAAAAACTGAAAGAAATATTCAGAATCATATTTTTGCCCTTTACGTACAGGTATTTCTTGAGCATGTTGCATCAAAAATAATAAAGATTCACAACATTCTCATGTCTGCATAGTGTTGAGAAGAATTTTAATTTTCTGAGGTTTTTGGTATCACAGAGAACTTGTGTCTGATACAAGCTACCTTATTACACAGGAAAAAAAATCATTTACAGTGTTAAAATACAGCAAGTTGGGGTGTTTGCAATTTGTGAATGAGACATTTAGTATCACTAATACAAGCTTATTCCTGGAGAAAAACACCCACCTGTTAGTGTAGTCTTCCAAATATTAACACGGGATTTTTGAACTCATTTTTATAATAAAAAAACTTGTCGGTTTTAAGACCTTAACTACCTGTTAAGGAGATACTATTTTGATGCTCAGACAACCTGAACTATCTCTAAGTTAAATTAATTATTCAGCTGTCAGACACTCATCCATCCAGTTTATGCACACAAAACCATGAGTATCAACAAAGGCTGGGTTACTAAGCCTGGCTATATAGCATCTTTCTTGCACTTGGACGCAAGCAGAATTTGTACAAATTTGTACAATGCTTTACTAATCCTACTGTAGTTCCTATTTTTACCAAAAGTGGATTAAAACATCTTAAAAACTTGTAACTTCTGTAAGATTCAGCTATATTCTCAGTAACTGTTACTGAAGTGCTTAAAACAACTTTATTCTCTAGCCAGATGCATTAACAAAACTATATTCCCTATTATTTTAAGTCTACATTTAAACATGCTAGGAGTTACCTTGCCTCACTCCGAGTAGAAGAGAAAGTAGCCACTTCCATTGCAGGTGTTAAAAGCCTAGAACCCAATTTGTCTTTAGAATTCTAGAGACAAATTAAGACTCAACACACCCCTATAAAGTGCAGAAATTAAAGACTTAGTGAATTTCTATATTGTGCCTGAACAATGAATTAGAACAGTTTATGCATGATCCATTATTACTATGACATAATACCTTCAAACAGGTTCAGACATTTAAATCACACTTAAGTTATTGCCATTTCAGAAACAAGTATAAGGCAACTGACATTTTGGTAGTTGCCCACAAATTCAGGAATGAACTTTTACACTACAAGTCTATCTTTTTGTCAAAGGACTATTACAATTTTTGAGCCAAGTTATTATTTTGAGACTCTATTGCCTGACAAGACAGGCCAGGTTCTATCATCTCAATAACCCTATTAACGGTGAAGATGGTGGGAAAGCACAAACACCTGGTGACCTGGGCAGGGGGGACAAGACGACACTACATCAGCTAGAACTCTAGAATACTCAGTATACTGTAAGCTACAAAAACATTTCAAGGACATCTCTTGGTAATCTATGTTACATATAGGAAAGTTTATAATTAGAATGACTTACACAAAAAAAGCCTTATTTCAGAGATCCATTTTAAAAATACTTACTGCTTTTTAATCTGTAGAACAGCACACCTATGGCTTCTAAAGCAACCAGAACACTGACTAACCATCCTTTAGTTTAGAAGACCAGGACATTCTTCAGCCAAATGCTATCCAGAGAAATTAATTTACTTAGTGGTCCCTCATAACTTGGCTCTTTGAGACTGCAGACCTGAATTAAGGATGGTTGTAATCCATGAACTGCAAACACAGATCAGTTAACCTGAACAGGAATAGAAATGTCTTGAAATCATTTAAGCATGCATGAATTAGTAAAGAGGGGAATAAGAGAGGGTGATAAAATTAAACAGTTAATCTATCTTAAACTTAGATATTGACAAGTCATTCAAGAGTTTCCTCCCCTCTTCTGTACAATGTTTGACAGTGAAATTAAACTCACCCATTTTACTGCCTTTATCACTATGCCCCTGCAGGCTAAAAATGCATTCCCAGTAAGAGTTCTTTAAATAAAAAGCAAATCCTTTAAATGAAAATTTAAATTTATTTTGAAATTTTTAAATGTCATTTCTATCAATTTAGACACACTGTTTGACATTACCAGATCAGAGAATTTACAGTGACTCATGGATAAAGATTTGGCTTTTACATTCAAATGTTAAGTACTTCAGAATAGCTGTCTTGTTATTTCCAAACCAGAAACACTAAAGAGTATTTTATTTCACCTTTCAACCATCTTTAACAGACTTTTGATATCTGCTGTACTTGAAGAGGAACATGCACACCACCAAAGGAATTCCTTTGTTTGAATGAAGGGAGTACCATAATTGCAGTTCCAGATTTAAGACTAGTTCGTTGTAGCATCAAAAGGCAGTGCTAAGTAGAAAGACTTTTTTTAAACATCTTTTTTCCTCAGGTAGACTGCAGAGCCTGAACTACTCAGAAAGCCTCTTCATGAGGATAAAAAGGTCTTGCTATCCAATATTATCACACAATTTAAAGTTTAGCAAGTTTTGTCCAGTTCTCCATTATTTTGGAAACAATATTACAGAATTCCACCACTATCCCAACACTACCCTTGTATTAGTGGTTAACAAGAAAATTCAATTTATCTATCAGACTTTAAAATTGTGCTGATTTTATTGCTTACTATAGTTTATTTTCCTACTTTCTAGCACTACCCTGAAACCAGATGAACAGAAAACACTTGCAGGGAAGAGATTTGATCAATTCGCACATTCTGGCTAGGAGAGTGCCCCTCAAGTATGTGCATAATTAACTGTTCCAAAGTGAATATCAGACCACTACTCTCTAAGAAGAACAGCCTTCCACCACACATCTTAAAAGTTCAAAACCCTTACTTTGTAAAAACAATGCAAGCTCCAAAGCCCTGAAAAAAAGCTTATAAACTTTAGAGTACAACTTTTATGATAGGCTGACACAAGGAATCTCATAGTGAGGTACTTAAACAAGATTCCTTTGTATACACCTTAGTATTTAACAGGTTGGTGCTGCCTTCAGCCAGCAGGGAGCACATCACAGGAGATCTGGGACCACAGCAACAACTTTGTGCTGGAGTCGAGCATTTGTAATATTAACAAATTGGGGGGCAGGGAACAGATTATTTTGTAAGAAGGAAATACTTCTGAAGTCTCATGTAATAAGTTTTCTCCCCCATCTTTATTTTCACTGTCTGACATACCATTAATAGTGTGCCAGGAATGTTCTACCACCTGATTCCAGAACTCTGCTGCATTTCAAGAATCACAGGCACATTCCCTGCTCAGGAACACAGAGCAGAAAGTGTGAAAGGTCTGTTTACAGTTTTAGAAGTCATATAAGAAATATGTATGTAATCTTAATCTTTCCTGTTGGTAAAGTCTGTTAACCTAGTTAATCCACAGGTATGATGATATGCATCTCAACACCCAATGAAACAAGAGTATTCATAAGCCTTTAAAGTATATAGAAAACTCAGTTCTGTCCTCTGATGCTGTGTTCAAGTTTGTTTTATTCACTCTTTTGGATGACTATAAATAAGTGTTTCCACTATGGAAAAGAAAGTTAGCACAGTACATTTTCATGACTGGGGAATGGATTTTCTGAAGACATCTTCAAAAGGGCAAAAGCTTAGAAAAAACAATCTGAATGTTGAATTCAGTTCCTTATAAAGTCCCTTGTAAAAATTAATAAAAACAAAAAAAAAAGAAAGAAAAAAGTAAGGGAAAAACTGCAAGGCCCAAGATGATTTATTGCTTTTCTTCAGTTTTTTCCTTGGTCTCTTTCTTCTCAGACTCTTTGCTCTCTTCCTTTACAGAAAGCTCTTCTAGTTTTTCAGCAACTTTATCAGCACTATCATTTTTGTCTGTGCCTGCTAAGAGATTGATTAGGAAAAAAGTTACATACAGGCAGTAATGGATATTCCTGTTACAGGGGAAAAAAGGGTAGAGAAGTGAAGGGTGAGGAGGGTGGGGAGACACAGCTGGTATTTAGAATAAGAACAAAATAAAGAAATTCTTCACTGAGCACTGGAGTAATTAATTTTCCTTTGGTAATTACCTCAGAGGTCAGAGTTCAAGACAGGTCACTTTTATATTTTAGTCACTAAATGAGGGCCTAATCCTAGTGACAGAAACATCTAACATTTGGTCAGCTTTGCTGCTACTAGTAACAGACTTCATGCAGTGTCCAGCCAAGTAAATGTCTCAAGTCCCTTGCTTTTTGCCTGCCTTAACAAAAAACCCCCAAAAGTCAAGTTCCCCAGTTTGAAATGGGGGAATAAGTTTTTAAGACTGAAAAACTCCTATCTAAGTATCTTGAAGAGCACTGACTGCAGATCCTTAGTAATCTGTATTTCAGAAAGAAATAATTCAGTATCTTGTCACATAGGCAATTCTACAAGGCAGTGCATTATTGCATTAAATCAAGAGGCCTGTGAAGAAATGCTACAACTTCAGACATGTTAACAACTATAAAAATTAAGTATTCTACTTGCATGATTACGTATTTGTGGACTTTGGGAAGGAGAATCAAAAGGAGGAAATGTCACTGTGGTTGCAGTGTTCTAAGTTCATTTGTGTACTATAAACCAGAAATGCTTCCTTAGTAGCCTTTCCAAAAAAGCAGTGTTGCAGCAGCAATTGTAACAGCCTTCTACAAGAAAGAAGGCAATTTTCATTCTGTGAACCATTACTCTCGCAGACAGAAAAAGCACCTGAACTGAAGGCTGCAGTTCAGTACAGAGTGAGTCTGCTAAACACAATGATACTCCAGGAGGCTATAACCACCCCAGTAGCTAGAAAAAAGTGGCATAGTGCTACACTTCAACTTTTAAGCTTACCTTTCTTTGCTCTCTTGTCTACTTCATTCCTGCATTCTTCAAATTTTGCCTTGAATTTCTGTGCATCTGTTTCAGTAAAAATAAAGTATTTTTTCATTAGTTTTACCTTCTTGCAACACTGCATACTTCCAATTTTGAGGAAAGAGCCCTCAGAAGTTGCGTGTAAACAAAACTTTAGGCACTTACAAAGTAATCTAGTTTAAAATCATACAAGATGATATGCAAAATTCTTTGTGCAGAAGCGGTTTGTTTTCTTTAGCAAGTCTATTAAAGCACCTTATTTGACAAAATATTTAAGACATAATGCCAGAAGGAGCTGTTTTGTAGTTACTGTAACTCCTAGCTGTCTCTAAGTCTACAGGAATATGTCAGAGACTGCTAATATGACTATCTGTGCAAAAGACTGAAGATTAGCTTTGAACTACAATGCTTATCAGCTACATTATATCCTAAAAGACCTCCACATCTTTACTATAATTCAGGGTTCTTGACATCAAAAATGGAACATAAAGCCTGCTTCATTAGTACAGCATTTCAGATTCAATACCGAAAGGCCTGGACTCAAGCTATTCCTGACTACAATAGCTAAGGAAGCATAACTTTCATTATGTTTTGGTTTAAGTTGCCGCTTGATTTAACAGTCATGCCAAGCAGCTGGCCAAATTAGAACGTTTCTACACAATTCAAGCAACAAGACAAAAGCAGATCAGGCAAGACCAGAACTGTCAAGGAGGTAATCTGGTATGCCAGCTCAGTCACTGGCCACATGAGGTCACTATTTCCCCACAAGAATTCAGAAGTTAATATGAAACTACTCCAGAAAATATTTGTATTGATTCCTTTCCAAGCATCTCATAAAGGAAAGATACTTGAAGGGCATACTTATGTCTGTTCACCTGTCATCTGCTTAGTCAGTACTGCAAAGGGTGAACAAGCAGAAGATTACTCTCTCAAGACAAAACACTCGGTTAAGTTGAACAACCTCTACCAGAAAGGGGGAAAGATTTTTCAAAGATGAGCAAATAGTTACCAAAACCCTTTAATTTTGTATTGGATTAAGAAAGCAGCAAGTGCTAAGCAGGTGGATCAGAAATATTTATTTGGCTAAGCAATATGATGTGGGGGACTTGAGGAAAAGGAAACTAACAAGATATACCAAGTTTTTCCCAGATGTAGCCAAATCCATCTAGTTTTAAAATATACAGCCACTTTATTGGCCACCTAGCATGTAGGAAGAAGAGGCAGCTAACACTACACTTGTGTGGTAAATGTTAAAGCAGTAAACATAACATTTTTTCTCTTTCATTTTTCTTTTTTTTTTTTAAAAAAAAAAAAAAAAAAAAAAAAAAGCTACACTGTCGTTCAGCTTTACTAGCTGATCCATATGTAATTACAGACCTACGTTCTGTTCTGGCAATGTAACCACTCCAGAAAAAAACACCAACTAGCATGATAGTTGGGTTTGATTAGCACCTCTGACTGAGCGTTTGGTTTACTCAAAACAAGATACCACATAGTTCATTAAAAAAAAAAAAAAAATCAATCAAATATTCTGCTTATGCAGAATATCAGGTCAGTATTTCCTTGCTTTAATGCAAAAATGTCATCTGAACTAGAACTACCATTGAGCACCTGAAATACACATGCAACTTGCTTTTATTTTCATTTCTACTACACTGTATTACTACTTCTAGTTTTATTCTAACTGGCATTACACTTGCATTAAATGGTTTAGGTTTAAAAAAGTGCCCAGGGCAGAAAGCTCTATCAATGTTACCAGAAACCTAATTATTACACTGTTTGTCAACACATTTAAGTGAATAACTGACTTCTGTGTTAAAGCAGTAATTAGCTAACACTACCATGCAGTGGTAAGATACAGGAGATCTATAATAGTGGTTTGCAGTAGTGTTTAGACACACAATGTAACATAATAGCACACAACCAATGGAAGTTCAGTGCCAGTCCACTCACTCTCTGCATTTAAAAATCGGATTGCCAGAAGTTCAGGCTTGGGGCTTTCATCTGCAAAGTCAGCATGTGTGTTCCAGACCCATGCCCTGTCGCTCCCAGCATTCGGCTTCAGCTCCATTAAGGGTGTGACTGAAAAGAAAGCATTGAAAGATGTACACAGCACAATAGTAAACCTTTTCCACACCAGTCTCCATAAATCTTATTGACAACTGACTTCGACAGTTATGTAAAGCACTTTACACAGAATTACTTTTGGGTAAATAGAAGGCAGTAGAGCCCATGCTTTTTCCTTACATTGTCAAATAAAATGATGCAAGACCATTACTGTGTAAAAGAATGCTAGTTTCACTATTGTTAAGAAACTAAGAGTTTGATCCAATTCTTGTTTAAAACAGATGAGACTGATACTAAGAAGCAATCACTAAGCACAATTCTGAAGAACAGTCAAATGGCTTAGGAGGAAAAGGCATCCACACAAACAGCATTCATTACACTTTTGCACAGAGACTACTACATAAATATTTCAAAAAGCATTATTCCTACAATTAGTCATCAAAATCAGGTTCATCTCTCTCCTACCAGCTTAAAGCTCTACTGAAGTATAGAATTCTGCACTGCTGCAAAATGTGCATGGCATATTTCCAACCCATTTGTTCCTTCCCAGTAAATGGAGCCCACTCCCTCCAAAACACTAATTACTTCACCAGACTGACTGAAGAAGTTGGAATGTAAAAAGTCTTTGAGCAGTGTGAGAACTAACATTACACACATGGAAAAAACCCTGACCCCTGAGTCCTTTCTTTAGTTTTGGGGAAATCTGGAGAGTCAACTCACTTTCTCATATTTTTTTAAATTTAGAGATCAATTTACATTTTGCTTCATTTAATATTTTGCAATAATGAAGTATTTTTGCCTGCCTGTGAATCACCATAAATTCAATTTAAAAATCTATACTGAAAGTAGCTTTTCCAAGAACAAAAACTTTTGACATGAACACTATAAATTTATCAGTTCTGTTTTGCATATCTGCAACATTTATTTTCCCAAACAGGTTTATTGTTGGTGACTACACTGTTTTCATACTTGCCATTTCATTTACTAAACAGGAACACCTGTGTCCTCTGAAAAGTCTGACTTTCTCTGAAGATATCTACCCAGAGAAAACAAGCATTACTGCTTCTGACTTCAGATTTGTATTAAACTACTTCAAACAAGTTATTTCAAGTTATCTAAATGTAGTTTAGCTCCACAGAATATACTCCTCATATGAAAACCTGTGTATTACCAAAGCAAGTAACAAAACATTACCGAATTAGTCTACTTATTGCTAATTATATTGACTTTCAAGTCTATCTTGCCTTTTCATGCTTATTTTTGTACAAAGAGGATCAAAAGAAAAAAACCTCTCCTGCTCCATCAACTCTGAATACACATTCTTTTTGAATGAGTTAGCTGAATATACCGTGTTCATTTCAGTTTATTTCACAAGCAGAGAAAGGCAGCCACAGATTAATTTAGCACCTCAGTATCTGTTTTCTGATGATTAAGCAGTTGTTTCTACCAATGCATTTAGCCCAAAGGAGTAAATTATTACATGATTATTTATTTATTGTTTTTATGAAAATAACCCAGAAAACATAATTTCTTATCCTTAGTATGAAGGCCAGTATTTTCTACACTCTATTATAAAAACATCCACCCACACACATTGGGATCCATCACGTCTATCCCAGATAAATTTTAAAATGTCTTTAGAACACTATCGAGTCTGAAGAAAAAAAAACACCCAACTTTATGACAGCCTTGCCAGCACTGCCAAAACCAACTATAACTTCTTTCCACTAATAAAAATAAGCACTTGTAATTTTTGATGCTTGTAGCCTCGTGTGCAGAGCAAGAGACAACTATATTTACAGTCTAATATAAACTTGATGCCTGTTTAAAGGCATACAGCAATTCTCTAACTGCTACTAAAATACCACCGAGTTCTTAGTCTACAATGTACAATTCTACAAGCTTACTTTTTAAAACAAGACCAAGAAGTACAGTAACATATAACATACTATAATGGTTTGCACAGATTTTTAGGGTTTTATCCCTCCTCATGAGGAGGCGAATTGTTCCCTTCTCCTTGTGTTTTAGGAGCTTTACATCACCAGTTCCTCGCTCTTTCCATTCTGGAAGGTCATTCTCCGATGCAAACCGGAATAGCTTTGCTCGCCTTGAATAAGAGAGAATTTAAGAAGTTAACTTGCATGTAGAAACATTTATCAAACAGTATACTCGACTGAACAATTCAGTAGGTTTGGTTTTGTTTTTTTTAAAAACAGCCACATATAGGGAAGAAAACAATTCCTTTTGTAAGGTTCCCTATTCTACTTCAGCATACAAATTTAGAAACTGATATGGTAACTTCACATTTAATAACAAACTATTAGGAATTATGTAATAGATATACTAAAATTCAACAGGTTCTGGACATGCTTTTAGGGAATGATAAACATAATTGGTGCAGGCAACCTTTTAAATTAAGGTAGCTAATCAACAGGTTTTGCTATAGCTAGAGTTCTTATATACATTATGGATACAACTGCTCCATCTAACCAGCAGTATTTATGAATTCAAAAATTTGAGCAGCTTGAGGCCAAGTAAAGACTCTTGTATAATTCCAAGACAAATGTTTGATCAACTGTTAACAAAGCGCCTCACCCTCTAGAGTCACTCATTTCCTTTTAACTCCCAAAACCTAGTTGTTGCTATTCTTACAACAGAAAGAAAGGAAGCTTAGTGCTGCACTGCAGTGCAACATACCTGCTTCAGAACATCACTGTTTCATCTTCAAAGCTGCCAGTGTGCCAAAAGAGAAACAGGAGTAGTTTGGGACATTAGTCAAAACTGACCCAAGAGACAGTCTGAGCTCTGCTACTGAGGAGTTTAAGACACTGCTATAGGAAAGGAAGCACGGGCTCACACTACAGGATAAATATAAAAATACACTTTTCTATTAAAAAAGCAAGGCATAGGGGCTTGTAATAAGCCAGGTCTTTCAAAAGAAGGTGTCAGATGTTGAAGCAAGCTATTCTAACAGATGCTCTGATTCAGATGAACTACTCTGTTCCAAAGCAAGTCCTTCCAAGTCCTGCCAGCATTCAGTAGGTGATTCCCCTAATTTTAGCTATCAGAACAACCAGCATTCAAAAAAAGGATTCCCTTCCTTCTTCACCACTTTGCAGATGTATAAATGAACCTACAGAGAACTGGAACTTACACTATTATTCCCCCCCTCATTTTTAAATTAAAAAATTTCTTCTTCCCATCTAATACTGCACATCACATGTGCAGAGATCTAATGGTCAGAGGTCTCACCATGCTACTTGCCAGAAACTGACCACTGCTGTAGTTTTTACCAGAACCTGTATGAGAACTCAAATCTCTCTTCCAGATGAACAATACCCTTCTGCAATTAAGTCAAAGCAGTATTAAAAAAAAAACCTATTTAAAGCAAAGACATCATGGATCATATTCAAAGTATGTCTTATGCCTTTAGCCTACATGTTTCTTCAGGCATATCATACATCTTAAGCAAGCTATCATGATTTGACAATAAATCCAATCTAAGGATAAAACTGTTCAAAACAACAGAAAGGTGCTGTCACAGAAGCCTCAACAATGTACTGCCCCTATTGTTTTTATTGTTTCAGTATATCATATGTCACCCTTTATACTGGGAATGCATGGTAGCAATACTATACACATCTCTTTTTCCTCCCCAAGATACTTGTGTTATGCTGTAATCACGCCATTTCAAACGTCTAATTATTATCTAAGTTAATGCTTTCTTTTAAGCCAAACAATACTAAAACCAGATTTGTGATATCTATTGTTCCAGAGAGTCTTGGGGCATTATTACCAATCATCCCCCCCGCTCAATTTCTGCCATCACAGCAAATACCAACCAACTTAGATTACCACTTCATCTGCAGAGATTCCTAACAACTTTTCTAGCTTTTTATAAACACATTCAAGTTTAATCCTAATAAACATTTAGATAATGTACAGAAATATTCTACTTACATTTTAAAGAGTTCTTCCTCATCCTCTTCCAGAGTTTTTATTTCTTGCTCAGGAAGGGAAACTATGGGCTCAAACTGAGGATCATGGTTAGAATCATCTGCATTTTCAGTAGAAGTATCATGCTCCTCATGTGTTTCCTAGAGAGGGGAAAAAAACCACCATAAACACAAAACCTGCTATATATTTAAAATGTGAAGTAGTCGTATCTGTGTTTAAAATGAAAACATTTATGACCATTCAGCAATTAGATCTTAGTAACCGAAATACCCTGAAAACAAATGGCTTTAAAGTCAATATAGAGTTAATATTACAAAAAAAAATAAAAGGTGCTTTTGCAGTGCTACATGTTTTAGCCCTGCCACCCTTACTAGCTGTGCTGAGACCTGGCCTTGGAGCAATAGCTCTTGGTTATGGAAAATAATTTCTTCATTTATTTTCTTATATAATGTGTTTCATACTACTAAAGCACTATTTCTTAGTGGCTAACAACCTATCTATCATTAATGGGGAAAAAAAAAAAAGAAAAAACACACCAAAGCAACCACCTAACTCATCTTAAGGAATAGACTACATCCAATTGTTCATTATTCTGTCTTATGTATCAGAATCACCCATAATCAAAGATACTTATGAAGCACAGCTGCAACACTCAAGTTCCTCTTCAGAGAGCTTCAGATTATGAGTAAATGACCAAAACACTACTTCCTATTTAGTTATTTAAGAATCAGTCATAGCATTCATTAAGCTTAAGAATTGTTTTTAGGCCATGACCGGTAAGTAAATGATAAACATGTCTAATATTTTGTATATATGCAGTAACAAACGTTCAGCAGAGAAGCCTAGAAGGGAGATTCATCTGCAAGTTTAACGAGGCCACAAACAGTTATTTCAGGTCAAGAGAACAGACTTGGGATTTTTTGTTGTTTGAATAAGTGAAAGGAAAAAGCCTATACATCAAAAACACTTAAATCTTATTTTCACTTTACAGATGAAAGAGTCTGCTCTTACAGGCTCTATTCTGAATAACCTTTAAATAATAAAAAAGGGGGCAATGGGGAATTAGGTAAGAAACGTTACAAAATAAATTCTGGTTATGTCAACAACATCACACCAGCTATCATTAGTTTTATGCTCCCAGCTCCACTATGTGAGAAAAAAAACTGAGAAAAACTAATCCACATCTGTTTTAAAGAAAAGAAAAGAAACATTGGCCAAACTTTCACATATTTTCTCTTCCAGTAGTAAGTAGCACATCCCATATCGTAATTCATCATCCTTCTGCGTTTGACCAATTAATTAAATAAGCCACGAGAAATGCGTAATTCACAATAGCCACACGTGAGAGAAAGTAGATGGCGTTATCACGATAAGATCCCGCGCTGCCGCGACATAAAGCACGTGGGGAGCTGCTCCTGCGGCCGGGCCCGGCACGAAGGGTTCGGTCCGTCGGGCTGGGGGGATGGGCGGAAGAGAGGGAGAAGAAAGGAGGGAAACGGGCAGAGCGCTCACTCCAAAGCGCCCGAGTCGCACACGAAGCTGTGGCACCTACTAGAGGCTCCGGCTTCCTCACGCCCGGGAGGGGACGCCGCCGGCGCAGGGCGCAGGCCGGGCGGAGCGGGAGCGAACCGCCCCGGCCTCCCACGCTCGGCTCCGCCAAAGGACAGGCCCCGGGAGACACACGCGCCCGAGCCGCCTTCAACCT